CAAAAAAAAAACAAAAAAAATCAAAACCCTCTTCTCCCCAAAGAATTGAACACTATTTCAGAACCCAACCGGAACACACCAGGAATGCGTTCTCAGGGGCGCAGCCAGGGCTGGGGTGAGGAGGTCATCTCTGCTCCCCACGCCCGGCCGGTTCTAGCAGGAAGCAGCAGAGCCCGCACCTCTCCGGCCGAAGGTCTGTTCTTCAGGACACTCCAGATGAGGCGCCTCACACCACCCCCACCGCAGACTCCTGCTTCGTGGCTACACCCCACAGGAGCCCTCAAACTCGGGCACCCCTCCTGTTGGGCTTTATTTTCATGGTAAAGGGTTAGGGAAATAGAAGCACATCTTGAATAATTGTGAAGTCTGGTGTCCCTTCTGCCTTCAACTTCCATGTAAAAGACCGGCTGAAGGCCTTTAAAAAATCTATTTCCATCACCACCTCTTTTTTTACAACTGCTTCTCCCATACAGCGCTCACTAGCCCTCGCTCATGTCTCCTGGTTAAGGGCAGAGCCCTCAGGTGTAAGAATTTCAGCAGATAATACAATTCTAAAAGGGAAGGGTTCCTAGGACAGCTTAGGTTTTGGGGGTGATGATACCACAGCTCCAGAAAATTTCCCTTCAGTCAAGGTGGTTTTGCTTACCCCAAACGCAAACTGTTCTCTTAACATACCTTACACTTAGCACGTTGGTGAAGGTGACTGCATGACTTCCCAATTTGTGGTGACGTCGGCTCCGGAAGGAGGTGTGTGTGCCAACTGGCAACCCCATGGGGATTTGCAATGATTTTATGAACAACCTGGAAATTGGTCTGTGGAAGGAGCACGAGGCAGAAGCGAAAACAGAGGTGGCATCAGTGCAAAGTCAGCACCCGCCACCACCGCGCACACTCCGAGTGCGTCACCCAGAAAAAAACGCGCCAGTTGCTAAAAAAGGATACTGTTCACCAAATAACTAGGGCTGAGGTCCGTGTCCGCTGGGCGTACTTTACAAGTCACTTATAGACGTGAAGGAAGGGGAGTCCATCAATGACTGAGATTAGTCCTAACTGTTCCTAACTCTTAACGGGATAATGTGGACTAAGTTAAACCTTCCCCCACACCTGGCAAAGCCCCCCCACTGGGCTTCGAGGGCAGAAATTTGGAAATTCTCCTAAGAACCAGGGTGTCCGTACCCAGGGCTCAGGCGACCGCGTTACTTAAATAATACGCCAGTCTGGGATCCCTGAAGAATGAAATTGTTCTTTCCCTTTTCTTTGCGGGGAGCAATGTTTGAGGGCGGGGGGCGGTAAGCTAAAGTGCGTTTGCCTGTCGGCAGGCTCAAGAGCTGAGAAACATTAGCTGTCATGAACCACAATCAAATCAGGTTTGAAACATTTAGCAGTGGCTTGGAAAATGCGGCAGTGCAGCTCTGACAGGCGAGATGTGCACAGACACCCACTTTCCATTAGAATGGAAATATCAGGCCTGTTCTGAATATGTATAACCCAGAAAAATGTATTGATTTTTCATTCGGCATTAAAAAAAATGAAATAGCCTGCAGCTGTCAAAAGCCTTTTGTTAAAAGCTCATCTTTCCTGGAATGAGGTTTACCAGAAACAAGTTTTAATTGTGTATCGGACTTCTTCTTTGAAAAACAAAATAACCAATCTGCTTACTTTGAAGATAGGGTTAAAGCCCTTCCTTTCCCCATTTTCAACCTAATTAACCAAGGACAACCGCGAAGTGGGCGGGAAAGGCCCGGCACACTCTGACCAGCAGGGACACGGAGGGTGGCGGCTACTTTTCAGGAGCCTCCATGGTGGTGGCGGAGGGATTCCACGACCGTGTCTTGTTTCCTTGTTCCTGTAACTAGAGACTCACTGTAGGACACCTTGGCCTACATCGGCTGTCCTCTTGCAGTGCTGACCGTAACAACTGGAGAACGAAGGCCGAACAGTCCAGCTTGTCCAACCCTCTTGGCCTCTTGTTATCCATAGGAAACCTCTAATGGCTGGACGTACTTCTAACAAAGTATGTATGCTTTACTTTGCAAATAGAGGTCAAATCAAATCCTACAATATGAAAGATGACAGCTAAGGTCTAGATCACTTATTTTGAATAAGATCCAGTGCATTAGAATTCTGCTACAAGAGTAACTTGTAACAGGATGTGATCTGCCATGGTGACAGAGAGACGGCTCTGCTGCCCCCAGCTCGTCACCCTAGTTCTCCTTCCCTCTCCAGGCCGCAGAGGGAGAGGTGAATGCGCTTGTGGCCACACCCACAGGTGTGGGCCGCTAACTGTGCTGGTCTCCCTCGTGACACTTTGGCAAGTGCGGTCTCACTGAATGGTGACTGCAGGTCCTATCAGTAGGTGACACTCCATGTGCTCTGGGCTATACCGCAAACACGCAGTGACTCCCAGACTCAGGACGCAATAATCTACCCCGCAACACTCTCAAACACACTTTCTCACATGTTAATGCCGTGGTTTTGCTCCACGTTGTCTTTCCAGCCCCGATGACGTGGCTGGAAACTGCCTGAGACGTAGCTTCGAGCCATTAGGTTTTCTGAGTGACACTACCACAGCCCCAGAAATTCTCCCTTAAATCAAGGTACTTTTTGCCGACCACAAATGCAAACTGTCCTTTTAACACACCAGTCCTTAGACTTAGCATCCTGGTGGAGGTGACCGCACGTTCTCACCATGCACATAAAATAGGGAACTTATACGCCTCCCTGGGAGTCCTTTACGGGTAATCCTCTGAATATTATTTTTAATTCCTGGCAAACACTGCCCATTCCGCTTCCTACATCTTAACAGGGTATAGATTAATTGAAGAAATAGTCAAATCACAACATGAAGGGCCCGGGATCCGAGTCAACACTGGTGAGCGGAACACTATGAGATACAACTCTCACAGTCCCGGCAGGAATCCTTGCAGGGGTGAAGGATGAGGGCAGGAAGGTGGGGCAGGCAGGGGCTCCAAGGCTGGGGCGCTGCTTTGTGCATCAGAAGTGTAATATTTTCCTACCTTCTCAGGATAAGATGCCATTTCTTCCCCAGCAGACATGAGAACTCCAGTGCACTAACAGAGTCCAAGGCATTCGGTGAAAAATATGCTCTCCAGGTGGATGACAGGCACTCCGACCTCCTGCACTCCCGCCTGCCCGGCCTCTCCAAACCCTCCCACAGGTCTGGGGCACAGAGCACGGGACAGGCAGAGGTGGGTCTCCCCCTCCAGGTCGCCCTTGTCTCCGGCGTTTCCCACTTCCTCACCCGCCTAAGCTCTCCACCAGGCCAGGCCGTCTTGCTGGGGACTCTTCCCCACCAGCTGGAGTGAACGGTCAGGGGTTAGCCTGGTAGCCCCACAGGGATCTCCTCACCCCAGGGGATGTCTGTTTGTTTTTTTTTTTTTTTAAATGTGACCAAAGTGCTAACCAGTTGTTTGAAACATAACTGCCCTCTTGAAGATGTCATGTATAAAGAATTTCAGTCCTCTGAGAGGCAAGAGGGTGTGAGCGGGAGAGGAACAGGGGACTTGGAAAAGATCAGACCCACTCCCACCCTCCACTGACGTGTTCCTTTCTCACGTGGATCCCTTCAGTGATCATTTTACCACAAGAATTCTTCTCACTACTAGGTGTTCATTTACCGAATACACCCGGGGCCGCCATGCCTGGAGTTTCTGGACAGAGCGTGCGAGGCGGTGGAGGCCCGCCAGCCTCGCTGGCACGGGGCCGGGGCGAAGGCTCTGCAGGCACACGGGGCAAAGCCAGGAAAGTGGGGGGGGGGGGGCGCGGGAAGCGGCCCCTCGCGCCCGCCCTGCCCCTCCCTCCCGCCCCCACCCCACTGCCCCTGGCTTTGGCGCCAGGCTAAAAGAATCAACACTCTGAAGGCAAGGCCGGGTATTATTAAAATGACTAATTGGAGAATAGAGAACATTTATGCTTTTGTATATTTGAAGATCTTGCCACTGTTGATAGAAACAAGAAAAATGGGGCTTGTGCAGCCTGAGGGGGCCTGGGAAGCTGCAGCCGGTGTGCGCAGCCCTGCCGGAGAAAGAGCGGACCAGGAGGCACGCCTGGGAGAGCCTCTGCATCTGCCTGCCGCTCAGCTCACCTCTGCCGTGTGCGTGGGCACCAGAGAGCGCTCTGCGGGTCCACAGCCCGCCTGGGCCTCCCGGAGAAAACCGCCCCGCTCCGAGCTGTCCTCCTGTGTGCCGTTTCTCCTCTTCCGGGCAAAGCCACTGGGTCATTTGAACAGCTTGTCAAAACCGCGCTAGAATTAAGGGGGTGGGTGGGGTCACGAGAGGAGAAAAAGGGAGGAAACACCTAGAGCCGGTATTGCAAACGGTTCCATTTATCTGTGTTCTCAGCAAAAGCACCTGGGTTGCCCCCTGCAGAAGTGCAGAAAGGATGAAAGCCAATGTGCGGTGACAAAGCACAACGGAACGAAATATGTCGCGGACTCGCCTGGTGGCTATTCCCGGGAAGATTTTTTTTTTTTTTTTTTTTTAAATAACTGAAAGATGGGAGTTCCAGTTTGTAAAATACAAACCCAAGCCCTGAAATGGTTTCAGAATCCACACTAAACCAGAAATCCAGCTATGTCCCAAGAATCTGAAGAACACTGGGTTCAGCGGGGATTAATTCCCTTGGATTTCTACAAAGCCGTGACTGCTGCTGCTACTTCCACACATGAAATGTAAAAAAGGCAAATTCCCCGAGCATGTTTGTAGCAGAGCGTGATGTGATTGTGTTGTCATTTATGGGAAATAATCGCAGGCCCATCTCTCCCCTTCCCCCCCATTTTCCAGTCCAAATAACCATGAAAAATTACACTTCAATGTCAGGGCGACGACAAAGGAGGTGCGCTCTCTGGGAGCTCAGCGGATTTGCAGGGGTTTTTCCTTTCTTTGGACAAAAACTACCTTCAATTGTACTTCATTTAAAACGTGATCTAACAAATGCATTTTGACAAGTCCTTTTCTCTTTTTCTCCTTTCTTTCAAACAGTATTTTGCACAGTTTAACCTCACAGCAAATTGGAATGTTCTGGAAAGAAGAGGCGAGCAAAACAGAAGGTCCTTGAAACCAAGAAGGGTGGTTCCCCACTCCCTCATCCGTTAAAAACAAAGTCATGGAGAAAAGTACTGCTTCTAACTCAGTGTGCTACTGAGAGAGAATGGAAGACGGCAGAGAGTAAATGGTGACGTCTTAACGGCAGAATATTTGATGGGCAAAGGTGAAAAAGCCAGGGCAAGCAGAAGGAGGGTCTTGATGGAGGAAGAATGGCCTCTTAAGTTTGCTCATCAGAATAAACCGCTTTGTGGATTTGAACGCATCATCTAAGGTGTCTGGATGTACGGTCAGAACTGCGGGGTCATGACCACATGGGGGTGACAAAGGGAAGCCTCTCTGGTGGGGTACCGCTTCCCCCCTCGTCCCCCCTCCTCTACAGAAAGGGACGTTTTTCAACCCAACAGATCTGCCTGAAAGCTTTTTAACATTCCAGGTGTGAGGACTGAGCAGTCCCTACAAGCATCCATCTTTCAGTAACACCCGGTTTGAAATAAACACTGCCAGGCTTCCACGGTTAGCGGGGAGAAGACAAGAGAGACAAACACATGAGTGATAGAAAAAGTGTAAATTAAAAAATTTAACAGTTTCCATTAAAGAAGGCTGGTATCACCTTCTGAGTCAAAACTGACTGGGCTTGTCAGAGAGAGACCTTATGCTTAATGCAAGACAAAACAAAACAAAATCTATGATGTGTTCCCTAATTTATTTATTTTTACTTGGAAAATGTTGGAAATACATAGATGAAAAAAAAAAGTCAAGGCAGGCCTATAAGTGTACTTAAGCATCTATATACAAATGAAGGTGTATGGGAAATGAACAGGATGTACCAGAAGCGATATTCGATGATGGTGATTAGAACCTAATGGGTATAAGTGAAACCTTGTGGGAGGGCTCTGGTAACGGGAACGCCAATGCTGATGGACGCAATCTATACGGGAATGATAGCAAGGAGGGGGGTAGGGGGTGGCCGTGCAGACCCGAGGTGTCACAATGCGGGGGAGACACGATATGACAGCACCGAAGGGAAAGGTGGAATATTTGGGGACAGGACGTGCAAAAAAGCAAACTGAAAGAGAAACAGGTAAACATTCTGTAGCAGGTAAACATTTCGCCAAATGATTAGCACTCAACAGAGAAAGATAAAATCATGACACCAGGGGTTTGAGTCACATGACACACAAATGAGGGACTCGAGTTTCTAGCCCCTCTGTGGCCTCACTGATGGCCACACCGTCCAAAGGGTCTCTAGCCTATTAAGAAAAGAGCTTTGCCCTGTGGAGCACAGGATGCATGCAGAAATATTAGTCGACTCCCATCCACGGGCCGCAGCGTGAGGGGCTGGCTGTCAGTGAGCTTCATTCTGCATGATCACAGGCCACTTATATGCACAGCTGGTAAAACCAGCTGATTCATAAAAACAAAGCGCAAACAAAGGCTTCCACTTTCCAAACCAAATCTGGGAAACAGACATCAGGCTGACTTCAGGCAATGCTGTACCCAGAAAAGCACTGGCTAACCCTGCCCTCCCTTGGCCAGACCCAAGCTACACAAAGGTCACCGCAAACGTTAACAGCCTCACACATCCCAGAATGCAGCGCTAGAAACACACGTGAACCTGGTGGTGGCCCAGAACAGTATTACACCTCCAAGCACGCTGGGGAGTCCTCAGGTGACTACCACGTGTTCATGTTCACCACCTGGTACAAGCGGCAAAGAACCTGCCTCTGACTCGAGCATTTACGGTCACACCCAAGACACCGAAGGATGCACCTTCACGTGGAGAGTCAAAAACTGGGCCAGTGCCCAAAACCATCAAGTCCCCAAATGCGGGCAGCAGAAGCAACATGTTTTAGTTGACACTTCCTAGGAAACCACAGAGAAAGTGAAGCAGGAAGCTGAGGTAAAGAGAAAATCCAAAGGCTTGTGTTCAAGAGCTTTCCTACATTAATGGTAGAAAAAGCAGATGGAATTGCTAAACTGTGGTCATCTTTAACATGCACCTTATATAGCTCTTTTGTGCCCAAAGGGAGAAAGAAAATTCTTGGATCTTCTTCCTCCTTTTTAGAAACTTCCAAAGTTATGCCCATGGTTGAATATAAAGACTGTATTTTAAAAATCTGGATCCTGTACAATGAAATGGTCCTTTTCTACGGTTTAACAAAATGATGCCACCTCTCCCCGCCACCACACCTGCCCTCTCACAGCGATTTCAGCTACAGCAGCCCATCCTCAAATCTGCCAGAGCTACTAACTGTATTTTAGTCTCGGCCTTAAGACCCTGTAAGCATCTATTCAGCTTTTCCTCCCATAAGGTGTTTCTTAGATCTAAGAACAGCCTGGTATCCTTTGAAAAGCAAAGCATGCATTACACACCCCCAAGTTTATCCTGCAATAGATCTCGAGGCAAAAAAAAAGCAAAAAAACCACAGTCACAGTCAAGGCAAACAAAGAACTTAAATTCTAGACTCACACCCATTCTCTCTAATGGTGAGAACATTTGTCAACAACTAAAACATGAAACCAAAGAGAAAGAAAATGTTGTCATGAAATGAGAAAGTCATCAAGGACCTGGGCAGAAAGCGCGATTCTGTGACAAAGAGTTGGTTCTTCGGACAGGCAGGAATAAGGGAGATATACAAGTTTGTAGCCCACGTTTACATTTTAAAGAAACAACTTTGGAGGTTTAAGTTCTTCTGTGTGCACAGTGCAACTGAGGAAAGTACCAGAAACCTCTCACAGGGAAATCCTTAAGTTAGAATCCTCCTCAAACTTTCAAAAGTGGACAATTTTTTCTAAGTGAATATGGACCCTAAGTAGAGCAAATAAGGAAAAGGAACCGTCACCAAGCAAAATTTTTTGCTTCATTTTGTAAGGCCACTATTTACAGCAAGAAAAGCAGTCAAATAAGCCAAAGGTGTGAATGAAAAGTAGCTAAAATGCAACGCAATATTAAAGATTAGATCGTCCAATGATTAGCAAGAAAAAGTGAATGATTCCTCACTTACGGAGCAACATCTTTAAACATAAAAAGGAGGAAGAGGGCTTCCCTGGTGGTGCAGTGGTTAAGAATCCGCCTGCCAATGTAGGGGACACGGGTTCGAGCCCTGGTCCAGGAAGAAGCCCTCAGACCGTGTAACAACTAAGCCCATGTGCCACAACTACTGGGCCTGCGCTCTAGAGCCCACGAGCCACAACTACTGAGCCCACGTGCCACAACTCTGAAGCCCGTGCGCCTAGAGCCGGTGCTCCGCAACAAGAGAAGCCACCGCAGTGAGAAGGCCGCGCACCGCAACAAAGAGTCGCCCCGCTCGCCGCAACCAGAGAAAGCCCGTGCGCAGCAACGAAGACCCAACACAGCCAAAAATAAATAAATTTAAAAAAAAAAAAAGGAGGAAGAGGAGGCGGAATAAAGAGGAGGATTTAGACAGTAACCAGTGAGGTACTTTCCAAAAAAAAAGAAAAAACCCTAGGTAAGAGTGTATCTTAAATACATATTATGGCAGAAAAAATTCAATTTTTGAAAAGAGTTAGTCTATGAACTGACTCAACTACTAAAACACTTTGGTGACAGGTTGGACAGGAATTGTTCTAGGAGAAACGAAATGACAGAAACTGGGCCTTAAAGAAAAAGAAGTTGAAGAATGGAGACAAAAATGGATCAATGGACTAAAAAATCGAGCTGTATAAAATTTAGCTTGATACAATTAAGGGAGTGAAATCAAAAATGTGTGCTTTAGAAATTCTAAATGATATAAATGTAAATATATGAAATATAAAATAGGTAGGGTAGTCCAGACAAGGAGAAGGCATAAAAGCATGAACACGAGTAAAACAGATTTGGGAAAGAGAAATAATGGCTGTTTGCAGCAAACCGGTCATCAGAGGGATCTGCCTTTATTTTGAGAGATTTGGCGGAGCTGAAGCGCCTCAATTCTACAAACTAGGAGACCAGGGCCTAAAGAAGGGAAGGGCTCCAAGGCCACACAGTGAGATAGCCCAAAGGAGGGTCTCCAAAGGCGGCCGAGGGGCACCAGCCATGGAGGGAACAAGTGGTCATGGTGACACTCACGCAGGCAGAGAAGCACTGAAAGGTGAGGCCTGGCACCCTGCTCCCTGGACGCGGGCTCCTCAGGAATCTTCCTCAACGAAAGCTGTGATATTGAGGCAAATGGATTCTAATAGTGGTACCATAGTTGTTCAAAGCAACTTCTAGTTTTGCTTTGTATTTTGAGACAAAAGGCACAGCATGGATAAAAATGGCCTCACCCAAACCAAAATGAACCAAAAATCAGCCCCTAAGAACACAGATCTGCATGCTTCTAAGCAAACAGCACCCTGTTAACTTCCTGCCGCCGGCAACGTGGTACCCAAAGGAAAACCATCACGTTAAAGACAGGACAAGCCTGCCTCTCTCCCTCTCCCTCTCATGCTCCCTCTCTCTCCACCCCCTGCCTCCACACTCTTTCTGGAAGAGGGGGAATCCCAGAAGTACTGCCCCCAAATGGCTTGGGGTGGTGCCCATTAGAGATACTCTGGATCCAGGGTGAGGTCCAAGGGGCTGCTGCAGCCCTGAATCCCTGCCACAGAGAACTAGCAAAAGCCAAGTAATTGCTTTTTCCCCTTCCATTAATAAGCTTTTCAGCAGAGGAAGAATTCAGCTTCCTGTAGTCAACAGACCCTTTTTTCCCTGCCTCTCCTCACTCCAAATAATCTAAAGTGACTGCAATTTCAGTCCCAGCTCTCCAGCATTCAGCTCCACTGGCTGAGGTCAGAGGGTGTCAAGTGAGGGCTCTCCATTTCTCTCTGCTCTGCCTTCACGCCACCCGTGCTTCTTTGTAACTGAGGCAACCTGCCACCCCAGGCCAGCCATTATGCGAATCACCAGCCCACTGCACACACTGACTTCAGTCAGGATTCCAGGAAATGTCTTTTCAGGCCCAGAAAACACTGGAGGAGAAGAAAAAATCTCTTCGCTGTAAACAACTGATTAGTAATGACCAGCTTCAGACGCTCTGGTGACCTGAGCCACTAATTTCCTGGTACTGAGAAAATGCACTACAGTAGGACTTTTTGCGCGTGTGTGTGTGGTGGTTAAAACCATGTGGCTGGTTATGTGGTTTTCAGTTTAGTTTTATGCAAATGGCTTTGCTTCCTAAATTCTTTCTTAAGATCGTGCTATGTATTCCTGGAGCTGGTATCTTCAAGCCTGGCCTCGTGTAGAATCAGCTGCCGGTGGAAAATGGCTCCACCCCCTCCTCTGCCTCATTTCCCAGATGAATGAAATGCGATTTCAATTAAGAAGGGCAGCACCAGAGCTCCCCGCTCTCCGTCTTCATGGAGATCTAAGCAGAGGGCGCAGACAGGACTGAAGGTGAACAAACAGACGAAAGGAGATGGATTGAACAAGAGAAAGAACAGGTGTGTGAACAGGTGCGCCACCCCCAGCCCCCAGCAGGTTCCTGTCCCTCAGGGTGATGAAAAGACTGCGCTGCGGAATGCAAGAGGCTCCAAGCAGGGGAAACAGAGGCAGGTCTGGAAGGATGCTGCTCACTGGGCCTGCAGCCAGTGCCCAGGAGGCTCTGGAAGGGAAGGAAGGCAGGGGAGGTGCACCCAGGGAAGAACATGAACACCTGGCCACCCACCCGCATACACACACACACACACACACGCACACGCACGCGTGCACACACACACACACACACACACACACGTGGACACTCACTTCTGGCTGCAGCCAGGCCTGTGATGGGAATCTATTTCCCGCAATTAGGTGCTCTTGTCCCCGGTCTCAGTTCATCAGCACAGCGCGGCCAAGCCAATGAAAGGCTACCCGTAATGAAGTAATCACATGCACGGGGACGGCCCGGCACCTGCCCGCTGGGCTGGCGGGGCTGCAGCCACACCTGGCCCAGAATCGAGCTGACAGGGGCTCTCCAGCCTCCCCCGACTCTCCACCCCACCCCCACCTCCATGTGCTCCCACATTCCACGTCAGGTCACCCC